AATTTCAAGCACTTTCCAATGTCGAGTCCTTGTAGTTGCGATTTCCGCTCAACTAAATTATAAATTTTGCAGGATGGCCGAAACAAAAAAAAAAAAACACAAAAACGGCAAATAAATATGTGGCAAATATTTGTGCGCGTGTCTATTTTTTCTCTCTTTCTCTTTATCTATTTTGTTTATGTTGCATAGTCACGCGAGTTGTCAACATAAAATTCGGTCTGTTTGTTAACATTTGACAGCGTTTGGCTTTTAAATAGAGACTCTGCGCGCAGGCGAGCGCCCCACTAACTGCCGTTCGCTAATCAACATTTAATGGCCTGGGACTAGGCCTGGTATGCGTCATATTTTATGCCAGTTTACATGAATAACATATCGCGCATACGCCGCGTGCCACAGAATATTTATGCATATCTTCCAACGAACATCTCATAATTAGAAGCCATCAACGCTCAGCAATCAGCTGTGGCCAATTCTCAGCCGTCAGCGGCTGCGCTGGCATTTGGGAAATGTCACAGCGACAGGCGAGTGGCGAGCGCCTTCTCTGGTGCGTGTACGTGTCGTATACGCAATGCCAGGCACTTTGTCGCCTTACGCTTTTGGGAATTATGTGAACCTATGAGGAGACTTCAAAGCTTCCACTTCTGTTTGTAGTCATTTTTTAATGAATACATTAAGGATTTGCTTAAAACGGAAAAGAAAATGCCCAAAACTAATTTTTACCATAACTTTTCATGAATGTAAAGTTTGGATGTATGAAATTATTACCTAAAACCAATGTTAAGAGCTTAAGTAGCTTTTAAACTTGACATAACTCTGTTAAGCTCTACCTATGTATACTAACAGTGTCTGCCGAGTTAGCCTTACAGTTTGAAGAACACATACGGACGACTTTCTCTTTCTAAGTTATTAAAATAAAGAGCTCTATTTAAGATCTCATATGTTATATTAGGCATCAGCGGCACATTCACTAACAGTGTGAAAATCACATTACTGTGCCTTTGAACTGGTAGTATAAAATACAACAGGAATTGAGCCCAATATTGCCGGTTAGAATATGAACAGAATGTCACAGAACAGAGGCATTCACTATATAAACTAAGAGCCTCATAACAGAACGCATCTTTTATAAAGATGTTAAGTTAACAGTGCTCAGTTATCTGTTTAAGAGTGAGCAGCTATGTTAAGGCAGCTATAAAAGGATCTATCAGATCTTTTATAAAGATGTTGAGCTAACAGTGCTCAGTTGTCTGCTAAAGAGTGAACAACTAGGTAAAGTGAGCCATAAAAGAGTTTGTAATTTTTAACTGAAGTGTGAGCAGACATTTACAGGGAGCTATAGGGTGTCTGTCGTATCTTTTATATAGATGTTAAGTTAACAGTGCTCAGTTATCTGTTATAATGTGATCAGCCATGTGAAGGGAGTTATAAAGGTAATTGTAATATTAAACTAACATTCTGAAGCGGCACAAGCAATTTCTGTACTTCGCACGTGGTCTTAAATTAAGTCTATTAAAATTTAAAAATTTCTTGACTTTCAAATCAGTTCTCACCTTCAAAGGAACCTTACCTATTTCGAACTGTTGCTGAAACATGCTTCTGAGAATACGACCGGCTTATGCTTTTCCATGACAAGTGTCATAATGAGCTCATTGCTTTACTTTGCTACACTCTGCTACCTTTACTTCCCTTAACTTTGTCAGCTAATTAAAATGCCTGTTGGCTGTAGCACAAAATTGTTTAGATAGAAGCTTACCCTTAGCCCGCTCCACTTGAAGCTCTCGGCTTCACTTCATTTTTTGCCTTCAGTCGGCCTCATTTGGGCTCGCTTTGAGGCGTTGCGCATAAATTTGAAGCCCATCCATTTGCAGGTTTCCCTCTTAGCCTGAAACTCGCACATGGCCCTTGGCATTAGCCTAATTGTTGGCCCAGACACACACACACACACACACACACACACACACACACACACACACATCACACTCAGGTGTACAGGCAATTTTAGTTTTTGCATTTCGCATTTTGCTGGCCATTTAATTGTAAAAGCATTTTAATACGCAGCTCGGCTTTTATCAATTTTTTCAACCTCTTTTCTCTAATGTTGCATAAAAGCATTTTCGTGTGCCAAGAGTGTGTGTTTGTGTGCGTGTTTGTGTGTCGGTGTGTATTTGTTGTGCTTTTTCAAGGTCGCGTGCAAAAATTACAGTCACGCGTCAGATTTTATGCAAAGCAGGCAGCGAGAACTCGTCCAGTTTTTAAGTATTTTGTGCATATGCAATTGCCCAGTTCACAGTTCTTGTTGATGTCCTTATATAAGTGTTGAAATGTGTGTGTTTATATGTATGTGTGTGTGTGTGTGCTGTGTATATGTCAGCCTGCCTATGCCTTTTGAGCAAGTCATAAATTTTCAACAAGTCTCGTAAAATCTCAAGTAAGCTAAACATTTTCTCACAGTGTCGCGTTGTTCATTTGCTTCTTGTTGTTGCTCTTGTTATTGTTGTTGTTGCTGTAGTTGTTGTTGTTGCTGACATGTAAATGGGCAGCGCGTACTGTTTTTCCACTATAATATGCACTAGGCTTACGTCTATGCAAAGCGCTGCTGATAACAACAAGTCGAAGGCACAGGAAATGCAAACGGAAGAACTCTCTTGCTTTAAGTAGTTGGGAATTTTAAGAAGAATAGATATATAAAACTATTGATGTTAAAGGTCCATTGTAGTGCCTGTAAGGTGAAAATTGTGAATATACATTTTATAGAACTTATCTAGGAACAATGGGTAAACATTTATTTCTAGTATGAAAACATCTTCGTCTGTCTACGCTATGCGAACAAAATCTCATCAGCTTTGGATATATTGTGGATATTGTCTAAAACTTCTCTACCAGCAAAAGGTAAGTATTTAATTCTTGTATAACAACATCATCGTCATCTTATCAATGTATTCGTCTTTTGCTTGCCTGATTTTACGAAATATTATTTCAGACCTTTTCAGTCTACAACAATTTCCACTTGATTTAAGCATTCGCATTGGTGTCAAGTGCTCAGGTATTTTTGGTTTTTCCTCCAATTCATCTCCCAGTGGCCCCCCTCATATATATTTTGTACACATTATTGCAGTTCTTATTTGTTAATGTTCCCCATAGAGCAGGCCCCATTTTGAATTTTGGCCTAAAATGCAAATAATTTCACACTTCCAAACATACTCAGGCTCGCACAAACACATGCACACTCGCATGCATATATGAAATGTCACATAAATTTACGACACTTTTTATAGTCCCCCAACTTTTTTTTATTTATTTTTTTATTTATTTTTAGTAGCTTTGACAAAAACTAAGCTAAACCTCACCTTTGGCGATTTGTACATGTATTTTTACGAACTATTTGCTGAAGTTAAATGTGAGACCCAAGCAAACAAATATTGTACATAAAAAACAAGCACAACAACAACAACAACAGCCGCAGGAAACACTTTAAAATGTCAAAAGGATGTCAGCAGCAGCAGCAGCGGCCGCGGCAGCGCAGTCGCTGCGCAGTCAACGCCTTTTGTAGGCACTTAAAAACTTTGCTGCTTTTGTTGTTGTTGTTGTAGCTAATGATGCCTGCAGCTTTGATAAAGGCTGCCGGCATCATTCTACGGTTTTATTGCCAGTTTTATGTGCTGAGCATAAAAGGCGAATACACTGTAAAAAAATCCAACCTGCTTTAATATGCTGTGTAATCTTTTGACCAATGAGGTTGAGCATTGCAATCAGACAACAAGGACAGGGGGAGAGTGAGAGATAAAGCCAAAGATTTGTTAAGAGTTGCTTTGATATATCAACTCTGCTTGCTTTGAAGAGTTGCCAGATAGTTTAGAGTAGAGTTTTGTCGTTTAGCTCAAACCAAGTTCGATTGAACGGGGCATTAAAATGAACTACTGAACTTATTCAGTGATTAGTGGACTAAATCGGTCATTTAGTTCACTTGTTCAGCTATTCAGTCGGTCATGAACGATGTATTCTTTTGGCATGCTTAGTTTTTAATAAACATAAAAGGTAGCGGGATTTTGATTTCACTTTTGACTTGTTGACTTCTAAGTTACAACTTTTAAGTATAACATTTTTTGTAACTGAAAACATGCAAAATACCTGAACAAATATATAATTGTTCTTGATTTAGTGCATAACTGAACTAAGCGAATAGTTTATGACCGTATTCAACGTTCATGACCGACTGAATAACTGAACAAGTGAGCTAAATGAACAATTTAGTTCACGGCCAGAAAATGAACGAATGAACTTATTCATCAAATTAAACTCGAAATCCCCACTCCAGTTTAAAGCGTCATATGGCTAAGGCGAGGGGGCGAATTGAGTTTAACGATATTTTCGTGAGATTTCAGAAAGTTTTTGTAAGTGTTGCCATATTTTTAATACGTAGCTTAATTAAAGGCAAAAATAAGTTTAGAGGCACAGAGGACGAGTTCTTATAAACGTTGCCAGCTTGCTTAAAAGTAATTTAAGATTGTGCTTGAATTTAATTGAATTGAGAGAGGAAAATATTTGGCAAGATTGTCGCTATTGTAATAGAGTTGCCAGATTACGTAAAAATAGCGAAAAATGTTTTCCGGTGTTAAATTAGTTATTAACTTTGTTGGCTTACGAACATGCCAGATTGGTGAAAAATATGTGAATATAGATGAACAAGATGCAGAAGGAGAGAGATGGGGATAAGAAATTTACTTCTGTTTTGTGTCTAAGAGGATGACATCAATAAACAGTTATATGCAGGATTTCTCAGTTCTCACATTATTATTTTAATAAAGTTGCCAGAATATTCAAAAAAAATTAGATTGAAAGCAAAGAGTGAGAGACTAAAAGCTTAATGATTCCGTACAGTTAACTTGTTCTTAAGTAACCCAAAACAAAAGTATATATATTTTAAACGTTTGTTTTTCTTAGTGTATTTCTGTTGCATGTTAGCCTGCTTTTTGGGTGCTGGCCGATCGGTTGTTACTTACAATTTTATGATGCAGCGCAGAGAGTTCGCGCTCGGTGACCCGACGACTGGCTGCCTCGCGCCGACGCTGCCGGAACTGGCTGTACTTGTAGGCGAGCATGACGCCGGGCAGGGCTAGCGCCTCCAGCGGTGATTTGCGTCCAAAGGGCATCCTTGATGGAGTCCTGGCCTGTGTGCTTGGCGTGTGTTGAATTATTGCTTGCAGGTTTATACACAATTGAATTGCTCTCTCGCTCGCTCGCTAGCTCGCTCTCTCTCTCTCTCTCGCGCGCTCTTTCTCTCTCTGGTTAGTGTCTCATTATTGGGATTATGTAATCACAAGACGACCCAAACATTATGTTGCTCTGGACCCTGCGAGTGTAAGCCGTGTGCTCGGTTGTGTTCAGTCCATTTGCTTATCGACTCGAGCAATTTTCAATTTTCAATTTTCTTTGCTTTTCCGTTTCCTTCGCATGCTGCCCAACTGCAATTCACTTTGCATTCGATTTCAAATCGCTTGTGAAAACGTTGCGACAACAATTTATCAGAGGGCTCAACACTCTGATTGCATCCACTTGTATTTGAGTGTGTGTGTTGAGTGTTTCTGATACCCCTCGAGGGGCCACCCTCGCCAGGCAGCTCAGTCAGTCACAACTACGTGTGCCACATGTGTGTGTGTTTTTTCTGTATTTACAGATACTTGAGCCATAAATTGCGTTTCTAACATGGAATTCGCCACGAAATCACCAACTTTTAAAGCGATTAGCTTTATTTATGGACATGGATTTAATGCGGGTAATCGGCAAAATGGAGCGGAACAGGTATATGGCTGGATTGGTCTAAAAAGTCGCTACCAATAACCTTTGCAACTATACTTATTAAAAGATTAAAATATCTGAAATTTTTTTTAAAATGTCGGAATGTAAAGGAACGGTAATTATATGCTAAAGCATATAGTTGTTTTAATTTCGTACATCTATTTAAGAGAATAGTTAGAAACATAAACTCCCAGAGAACAATAAAAGGTAGAACCAAGCATTTCCGACCATATGTATATATACATATATATGGCTAATCAGAACGACAAGCTGAATTCAAGTTGATTTTAGAAACTAGCAAAAGCTAGAGATTTGAAATTGCATATAAATATATTTGTATATTCTTGTATGCCATGCACAGGTACAGGCTTATCATTTTGTTTTTCAATAGACTTGGTTTCTTAAGCGGAACTCGAAGAGCTAGCTGTACCAAACTTGGTAATTGGATTCTCGCATAGTGTACATACGTATTTAGGAAATGCACTTCACACACTTCCCCCTCCTCCTTACAGCTCTTACCAACCAAATTAAATTCAATTTAATATGCCTTCAATATGATCCATGCCATAAAATAAAATGTATATTTCCTAAATAGAACAATATTTGAGAAATATTTGTAAAAAAAATGGATATTCAAAAGATATATTTAGATGTCCTTGATTTGTGTTCTAGATTGGAGATATTTTAATTTCATTTTATATTTTAATTTATAAAAGAAATATTCGAATATTATATAAAATTTCTATATTAAATTTCTTAGTTGCAAGCAAATTTATTGGCAACAATTGGCTTTTTTTGTGTGGTGCTGGCGAAACACATTTGTCAGCTGCGTTGGCTTGTCTTGGCTTTTGGGGCTGGGACGGGCCTGCGGGGCGCTTATCATTATTTGTCAGAGTCCTGGCATTAAAAACGCTGATAAATGTATGCTTTAGTCAGTATCAAATTACAAGGCGCAGATGAACATTAATTTCAATTAGAAATCGCACGCAAACACACACGCACACTCGCACGCAGACACACACACGCACATGTTGTAAATCACAGCTTGGCGACTGACTGAAGCTGGCTGCGGGCGGGCGAGCGGTCGAGCGGGCTGCGGGGCTTTAGGAAACTGTCGCTGATTACACGCTGCGTTTAGTTTGACTTTTATTTTTACTTTAGTTAAGCTACACTCGCACACAGACACACACACGCGCGCTCGTTAGTGGCACAGTGTGAGAGAGACAGCGAACGTGGTGCAAACTTTTGGCGTGCCACGTGCGTCGGCGACGAACGCAGCAAGTCGAATGTCGCACAGCAGCTTCGCAGTTTCCCACGCAACCAACGCTGGAAGCTGCGTAACTGCGTTCGTCTCTCTGTCTCTGTGTGAGTGTGTGTGTGTGAGTGTGTGTGCGTGCGTGTGTGTTCCAGCGCTGCTGGAGGAGGAGTCACCTGCACTTCCAGTGCAGATTGTTTATGCTGGCAGCACGCGGTGTGCTGTTTTTTTTTTTTTTTTTTTATATTTATTTTGCTTTTATTATAATTTTTTATTGTATTTGATTTTATTTATTTTTTTCGTATTAAGCTGACTGCACAAACACGCAATTTTTATTGCAAATAATTAAACTCACGAATTTTGTTGTTTTCTTTTTTTGTTTCTCGCACGTTACGTATACGCCGCGTGCGCTGCTGGCGTGCAACATGCAGCGTGGCGTCTTCGCAAACGACTGCGGACAGGTTTCGCGCTTCCAGCGGGCCAAGCAGCGAAAGCAAAGGCAATAGCAAAAGCAGAAGCAGCGACAAATGCGCAGAAGCTTAAAATACAGTTAGCCGGCAAAAGTTTGTATAACAGTTGCGCTCAGCTTGCGAGAGCTTGTTGTAAACAAAACGTCATCAAATTCGGTGAGTGTGTGCGTGTTTGTGTAAACAAATCACAAACTGGGGGCACATTTACAGTTGCCGCAGTTCTCAACATTTGCGACACTTTCGGACTTGGCCAATTGTCTGTTTTTTTCTGCGGTCATTTCTGCTTGGCCAATTGCAACAATTCAATTTTATGGGCGCTTGTTAATTATTGTCTGGCGTTGCTTGTTGTGCTAATTGTTGCGGCTTTTTATTAGCGCTTTGTGGCATGCCACACTGATTTGTGCGGCTAATAATAATGCTCAAGGCAAGTGTTAGAGCTTAAATTGGGCTGTCGGCTAATTATAGTGTTGCGAGCTTATGCTAAATACTTGCTTAGTAATATTTATAATAATTGCTTTTAATATTTAGTTTGTACTTTTTTACAACATGATCAGTTGCTTAATCTAATCTAATTTTAATATTTTAACATATAATGTAATCGTGTTTTATTATTGTTTGAAGTTGAACTTATCAACATGTTGCTAGGCAGCGTTTGTTTAGTCAACATGATCTGTTTGTTGCAGCAACAGAGGCTAGCAACATGCATACACATAGCTCTCTCTTGCTCACTTGCTAAGCTAGCGGAATATTCACACAAGCACACAAAACTACTCCTACACACACACACTCATACACTTGCTGCAGATCAATAGATATTAAAAGCGCAGGTCAACCAAGCGCCAACAACAACAACAAATTGCCAAATGTCCAAACAAAACGGAAAGCCAAAACCAAAACCAAAATCATGTTAGTAAAGTCACTGGAAGCGCAGCAAAGCCACAAAACTGTTATACAACTGTAGAGACTGTTATATGCTGAGCGCAAGCTCTTTGAAAGTGAGAGCGAGTGCGACTCTCGCATGGCCTGCTTTGCCAAATGCAAAAAAAAACAGACCAATGCGAATACAACAACAAGGCGACGCCATGGAAATGATGACGTAAATTGAAAGCGAGCTACAACAACAATAGCTAAAACAACAATAAAATCTATTTGCATTGTTCTTGTGTCTGTCCGTCCGTTTGGTTTCAACATTTCTCTGTCTGCCACGCAACGGGCTCAGGTGTTTCAGCTGCTTGGGGGCCAGGGGGCCTGAGGCACGGCCTGTCGCTTGTTTGTCGAGCATTTGTCGATGCGAGCAAGTGCACTTCACAGATACACAAATGCAAAGATACACAGATACACAGATACAGATACACAGATAGGCGTATACACGGATACACTCATGAGCATAAAACTAGTTGGCAGCTCGCTTCTAATGACATTTGCCATTGTTTTTATTGTTGTTTTGCGGCTTTTTTAACGACTCGCTGACAACGCTTCCTTTTCCGCTTAAAAGCGTGGCAGCAACTCTTTTTTATTTAGAGATGGGCGCGTGTCGTGACACGAGTAATTCATCTAACACGAAAATAAACTGTCTTGAGTAAATCAAACTTAAGAATAAAATAAAACCTGGTCCAGAATAGTTAAAAAATATATTTTAATTTAATACAAATATGTCCAAAACAAAGATTTAGCAATAAAATTGTTTAAATCTTGGTGTTTTCCCTTTCATAATTAGCAAGCCTTAGTTTAGCAATTAAAATTGATTTGTTAAATTTGTTTTAAACATTTTAATATTCAGGCCCAATTTTTTAGTTATTTTAAATTTGTAGAATCATTTGTTACGGGATTAAAATAATTGCCAATATTAAATTGTATGATTAGTGCGGAAATGCAGTTGAAAAGCCAATTACTATTTATATCGAATACAGCTTTTCTCAATATTTCTAAGCACGAGTCCATCTCTAGTTCTTAACGGTTTTTGCTTTGGTCCAAGTCATGATTTGTGCTGGTCGCAAGTTTTTGGTACACTTTGCAGCAGCCCGCAACCTACAGTTGGTTTATTTGTTTCGCCTGTTTGTTTGCTGTGTGTGTCCTTCGTAGCATATCCACTCACTCACTCGCACACACACACACACACACACACACACTTACACAGTTGCTCGTGTCTCATATTTCGCTGTGTGCGTCCTTAAAAACTTTTGCACTTTGTGCTCAATTTGGCTTTTTGTTGCATTTCTATTTCTATTTTTAGGCCGCACAGCTCGTTGCACACACACACACACACACACACACACACACACACACACACACACACACACAAGCACACACGTTATGCTAAGGTTAATGGTTTTTCTTGGAACGGGAGAAACTGTGATATCAATCGTACGTCATGTGCTCGCTTCTCTAAACGCATAAATTAATCAAGAATGGCACAAAAATAATCGAGACGAAGAGTGGGCAAAACGCAGGGCACATGACAACCCTATTTGTGGATAGCCCCTCTCCCCCATGACGACGTCTCTGGCATTGTCCGAGTTTGTTGACGTCCCCGTTCACAGACTGCCATTGACGTCACAGACTGCACATGCACCTCGCACCTCGCACCTCGCACCTCGCACCTCGCACATCGCACATCGCACATACGCCGTGTGCGCCAGCTGTTGTATGCCACCAGCGATGGCCGCCTCCGTTTGTCGCATTGCAATGATAGCACAGACACAGCCACGGCCACAGCCACAGCCACTGCCAGAAGGGCCAAGCACCAACTGGCATATTCCCCTGACCTTACCCAAATTGTTTACACTTATCATGGCAATGTTTGCATAAAAGTTTGCCACCTATCCAATTTAGATATCGGAGAACATAAAAAGCTCTTCACAGTGAAAGATATTTATAAATTACCTAACTAACCAACTAACTAACTAAAATAAATTCACAAAATAAACATTTCAATTAAGTTAAATAAACAAATTTTGAGCAGATTAAAATTAGGGAATTTTCAACAGTTAAGACGATGCAAACCAGGCCAATATTAAATATTAAATAAAATATCCTATATAGACATAGGTCAGAATGGCCCACTTCCATAACTCGTTCGAAACTCACCCGATTTTCACAAGGCTTGGCTTTTTGTTCATGGTTTGGCATATGGATCAATTTGTCATCTAACTCTGCCAATATTTATTCTGTTCAAAATTCATGTGGAATAGGTCAAAATTGCCCACCCTCATAGCTCGGTCAAAACTCAACATTTAGATCAAGTATAAATAGTAAAATATAAACTATTTATATATAAATAAATTATTATTTATATTTTATATATTATATGTTTTTTAAATTTTATATTTAATGTTTTCAATTTTATATAGTATATATATATGATTTATCTATTTTTTTATATTTTCAAATGCCAATTTGAATGAAATACAGATATGACAACCAATTGGATATTCAGATTCAGTTTGAATGTAGGCCTAAAGGGAACACCCAATAAAAGGGATTATATGTGACTTTTTTAGCTGGGGAAGCTCTGGAACTGCTGCATTGCTTGCAACTAAGTCACTTTATTGGCTTCTTGTGGCCAACTGCGTTTGACGAGCAATTTATGTGGATCAGTTGCTTTTGGCGCTTGGAACGGCGCAGTTCTTTGGCCTTGTGAAGTCGGCATAAGCTGCTTAGATCCTGCTGTTAATCCTTTGAGCCATGGCTGCTGCAGCTGTTGCCACGCCCGGCGCCACCGTGCTGCCTTCAAGCGCTGGCGCGGCGGGTCCTGCGGCGCTCAAGACGCCCGCTGGCAAGGAGCCGCTAAATCTGGTGGAAATCGCCGGCGAGGCGAACATTGTGAACTACATGAAGAATCGCTTGCGCCGGGGCGCCATGAAGCGCAAGGGCCTGCAAATTGTGAATGGACACAACTTTGCGGTGCGCTTCTTCAAGCAGCCCACCTATTGCGGCCACTGCAAGGACTTTATTTGGTGAGTTAGCCGCAGGACAAGGAACCGCAGCCACAGCCAGGGTCAGCAGAGTGGAAACCACGGCGAAAGCCACGACCCATTTATTCGCGACGCGACCATCGCATTGTGCAAGTTTGTGAGTCGGCTTATACCTTGTATTTCGCTGATGGAGGGTGTAATGAACTTTTCCTGCGGACAGCAGGAGGTATCTAGTCAGAGAGACCTGGCTCTCGGTCTGAAAACATTTGGCTAGGGGTATAAGTTCCCATTCGAGTTTATTTTAACTAAACGATAATTGCTTCCAATTTCCTAAAATCGATAAATATCGACTTTTATAGCTCTTAGTTTCAATTGGGAAGTCAAGCATTTTGTGCATAAAACGTTGCTCGACCACACTTTACGTAAAATGACAGCTATAGGGTATCTTCTAGTCAGTGACAATCGAATTGAGCAGTCAAACCTGATATTGTTGCTGTTGTTGTTGCAGGCGCTGCGTCGCCTAATTTAATTAGCGCTCTGTAACTTGATACTTTTTGTTGCTCTCTTTTTCTTTACGTTGATGCATGCACCGCAAACGTGGCCGGATTTCAGGGGCTTTGGCAAGCAAGGTTTTCAGTGCGAGGGTAGGTCGTTAAATTTGTTCTTGTACTACCATTCCGAGCTAATTTGTGTTGCAACTGCCACACAGAATGCCGCTTCAATATACATCAGAAATGCTGCAAATTTGTGGTGTTCAAGTGTCCTGGCAAGGACACAGACTTTGACGCCGACTGCGCGAAGGTAAAGCACGGCTGGAACT